AGTTTCATTCAGTTCACTTCCAGGTTAAATAAAGAGTACGATTATTCACTGATAGTGATAGTCATTAAGAAATTTTATTGTATTTTATTTTAGATTATTTATTTATTTGAGAGAGGCAGAATGAGAGAGAGAGAGAGCACAAGCAGGGGGAAGGAGCAGAGGCAGAGGGAGAAGCAGACTCCCTGCTGAGCAGGGAGACCAATGTGGGACTCGATCCTGGGACTCCAGGATCATGACCTGAGCCGAAGGCAGTTGCTTAACCAACTGAGCTACCCAGGTGCCCCCATTAAGAGATTTTAATCATAGTAGTTAAGATTGAACAACCCTATAATGATACATTTAAGAATTACCCAGAGGTGCTACATGGCTGGCTCAGAAAAGGAAAGGAACGTGGCATGTGAAGCTAAACAGATCCTTACTGGCATCCTGGCTGTGCCTGTTAGCAGCTAATCCCTTATCTTCTCTCAGTCTCCGTTTCCTCGTTTATAAAATGGAGAGAGTAATATCTATATGTATAAGAATTAAAAAGGTAACATATGTGAAGTGTCATTCGAGTGGTAAATAAATGTTTATGAGAATGTCACACTGGAAAAACTGCAAATATTTAAGTTTTAGGGGAACCAGCACAGCTGTTTAAAATGAATTGGTTGACTCAACTGTTGAGACTTTCTACTTGTGTGAATGAGATGTAACTGCAGTATAATGAATCCCGAGAAAGCATCATCACCTAGCTCTGTTCGTCCCCTTCATGACTGTGTCTTTGGAAAGTAATATGCTTAGTTTGATAATGAGCCAAGGCTTACAACAGTTTGGCATTCTTGTTGCAACTGCCTTCAGAGTCACTCTGGGTCACGTGTGAAAACCAGTCACACTGCTGAATAGTCAGAGGCTTGTGACTAAAAATAGTATTGCCTCGCTTGATCTCTCACTTTAATCACCAGATTCGACCCCCAGTGATTCTCGGCTCCTTCCAGTGATTATATCTACTGTCAAAAGGATGGAAATCTGCTACATACAAACTACATACAAATCAACTTTGATAAAAATGTACAGCCTTGTTTGAAAAATTCACTTCTGGAAATTTTGAAAACATAATTGTGTGCACTAAATTTTGACTACCAGGACATTTAATGTAGCTTTTTTTTTTTTTTTTAATAGTAATGGGTAAATAACCTGAATATCCAGCAGTGGGTCGTTGGTTAAATAAATTAATATTGCCACCCTACAGATTACTGTGCTTGCAAAGTATATGGGAAGATATTCATAAGGTATATTAAGGTAAAAAGGTTGCCGGTGTAGAATAACCTTGGTTTTAAAGAAAAAATATAGACATATAGGATATGTTTATAGCAGGAGGACTCAGATTTATACCCAGGCTTAAATAAGTAGTGCTTCTGTCAGTATGATTGTGGGTCGGTTATCTTCTCCTTTTATAATTTCTGATTTATTTTTACTAGTAAATATATGTTGCTTTTGTAAATTTTTTTTAAAGTTTTTTGGTTTTGCTTTAAATTAGAAACAAAAAGTATTCTGCAGAATTCCAAATTGGTTTCCATAATCGAATGAGTAACTTGTCAGTACCTACATTTAAAGGGACTGGTGTTCATTTGCACTTAATGAATTCTGGTGTGTCCATTTCAAAATCAGACTTACACTTTTAAACATGCTTTGTGCATATGTGTACATAGAATTAGAATCCTAGAAGAGGCCTTAACTATCCATTCTCACCTTTTTGCCTATCAGGGAAAAAAATCCAGGGAATTTTTGACTCAGAGTAAGAATAATTGTTATAAAATTGAGAATTAAGATGATTACTTCGTTTTTTGCTACGCCACATTGTATCCCAGGCTTCAATGGTTTTATATCCATTCATTTAGCAAATACTTACTGAGTGACTGGTATGGGGCACTGTGCTAGGTCCTGACATTACTCCGTCCCTGTGGTCACAGAGCTTTTGGTACAGAGGAGAAATAGAGGCAAGGAAGTTGGCATTTACAATACTGTGTAGTAGAAGACGACATAGGAACCAGTGGGACCATAGAAAAAGGGGTACATTTCCTCTCACTTTCAGCCACCCAACCACCCAAGCCAGAGACATCTGGAGCCAAAGGTAAGTTTCCCTTCTAGGAGGACAGGGTAACAGGACTGGTTTCTCTCAAAGTACCTGGCTTTGCAAACCATTAAGATCTGAGATTGATTTTCCTAGAAAAGACATTGTGATTGGAAAGCATTTTTTAAAGATTTATTTATTCTTAGAGAGAATCTCAAGCAGACTGCTGAGCACAGAGCCCGACATGGGGCTCAATTTCACGACCCCAAGATCATGACCTGAGCTGAAGTCGAGAGTCAGACGCCTAAATGACTGAGCCACCCAGGCGCCCCTAGAAAGCATTTTGAAGGCATTATGGTCTGTCTTGGAGTTTTGCCCTGTTAAATGGTCTGAACTATACCTTGCAAGTAACAGGTTAGAATTAAGGTTTTTTTGTTTGTTTTAAGCCAGTGAAGTGTCATAACCAGACAGGTTCTTTGAAAGGCATCTCCCATTAATGGGCTGGGACATGGATTGGATGGAGCCCAAAATCCCTTGCACATGGAGGCACATGTTCACCATATCTTACTGCATGTGTTTACAGTGCTGCTTATCCAGGAGATTAGGCAGCTGCATATTTCTTCCTAAAAAGCATGTTTCAGGACGCCTGGGTGGCTCAGTTGGTTAAGCGTCTGCCTTTGGCTCAGGTCATGATCTCGGGGTCCTGGAATGAGCTCCGCATTGGGCTCCCTGCTCAGTGGGGAGCCTGCTTCTCCCTCTCCCTCTGCCTGCCGCTCCCCCTGCCTTGCACTCTTGCTGTCTCTCTGACAAATAAATAAAATCTTTTTTTTTTTTAAGATTTTATTTATTTATTTGACAGAGAGAGACACAGCGAGAGAGGGAACACAAGCAGGGGGAGTGGGAGAGGGAGAAGCAGGCTCCCTACCGAGCAGGGAGCCCGATGCGGGGCTCGATCCCAGGACTCTGGGATCATGACCTGAGCCGAAGGCAGACACTTAACGACTGAGCCACCCAGGCGCCCCCAAATAAAAAAAAAGTTTAAAAAAAAAAAAAAAGATTAAGCATGTTTCAGCCCAGATCTTATAATACATCATTTACTACCCCTGTCATGCAAGGACACCAGATCAAGTCTATGAAAAAGAGAACATTGAAAATAAGTAAAAGCAAAAGTGTCTGGGGGTGGAGGGTGGGGATGGAGTAGTAAAGGAATTTTTGCTGGTAATGCTTCTGCTGTCTACAGTTGCTGTTGACTTCATCTTTTCATTTTGACTTCTTGAATTGGCCCAAGTACATCTAGGTAGCCAGATTTCATTTAGCAGAGATTCAGACTTTCACTCTATGAAATTACAGACTAAGGGTTTTTTTATCCTGCATTTTTATGTATGTCCCATCATCTTGTTCCATGTAGAATTTGAAGCAGGGATGCCTGCTTGAACAGCATACCTGTCCCTCTTAAGTTGGCAGGGATCCATTTCTGCAAGACTGAGAACACTTCTTGGTGGCAGGCTCTTCAAGCATCTAAGGAAAGGGCATCAAAGGCATGAAAAACCTCAGCCATTTCCACTTCTTGAATCCCAGGTTTCTGTTGTAAATTACTTCACCGTTGATCAGATCTTTGCATAATTATGCCATTCTAGTTTTGGCTGAAAACTTACTCTGAGATAATTAGCCCATGCTTATGTAACCACCCCCATCACAGAGCTCTCCCCATCCCCTGTCATGTACTCCATAACTAACTTTAAAGAGTTAACATGTTTTGGATATTTGTAACCAAATTTTTATTTTCCTTATAAAGTCAGTGTATGTAAAGCTGATCACATTTTCTTCTACGAACTAAATTTGGAATCGTTTTTAAAGTTGGACAGTCTATCTTAGCACTTCATGTAGTTAATAAAATCACATTTAAAAAAAAAAACATGAGTGGACTTGTGGGAGCCAGTGCCTGTTGGAGGGGGCACCTCTGCACCTCCCCACAGCCCCATTTCCCTCTTAGATGATCCTAACACACCAAGGGTTTTTCTTCTCAGTGCTTCAGCATGTACATGTTTTAATCCACGCAACACCAGCTAAATGTTTAACCCCCAATGTCAGTTAATGGTCTGACTTTCAATAAGACCATATTTAAGTTTCAAGCAGTTTGAGATGAGTGTTCAAATTGTACTTGTGGGGGCACTTGGGTGGCGTAGTCAGTTAAACATCTGACTCCTGGTTTCGGCTTAGATGGTGATCTCAGGGTCGTGAGATCCAGCCCCGAGGCAGGCTTTGCACTCAGCGTGGGGTCTGCTGGAGATTCCCTCTCCCTCTCTCTCTGCCCCTCCTGTTCATGCTCTCGTGCTCGCTCTCTCAAGTAAATAAATACATCTTTTTTAAAAATTGTACTTGTGGGGGCGCCTGGGTGACTCAATCGTTGAGCGTCTGCCTTTG